AGAGACAGAGAGACAGAAAGTGAGAAATCACCCCCCAGGGGGGATGGCCATGGCACAATCCTTTCTCCTCTAGGAATCTTGGGCATGCATGCACATGCGCCTGGCATGAGTTTAAGCCACCGGGTCTGAGACGTGAACCGCGATTGACTACATGGGAGTCCGGCAACATAACCATTATGCCAACTGCTGGTCCTGGGAATATATATTTTTTAAACTGATTTTTTCTATCAATATTTCTGGGTTTTATAGGCATAGTTGTCTTATTAAATATAGTTGATAGTGAATGTTTTAAAAAGTAGATTAAAGTCCTAAATAAGATTATACCTCCTTATTTATAGGTATTAAATGTAGAAATATTTCATTTTCATGTTTGAGGAAATCACATTTGATCTTTTTTTTTTTTTTTTTTTGGAGAGGTTTTCTCTATAGGGCGCATGTGCTCGCCAGACAGACAGAGAGAGACAGAGAGACAGAAAGCGAGAAATCACCCCCCAGGGGGGATGGTCACGCCACAATCCCTTCTCCTCCATTCTCCTCTAGGGATCTTGGGCACGCACGCATATGCGCCCGGCGTGAGTTCTAAGCCACGGGGTCCGCGGTCGACTACGTGGGAGTCCGGTGACATAGCCATTACGCTAACTGCTGGTTCCCACATTTAATCTTTGATGTCAGAAGCATGGAAGGTCTCTAAAGGTTTATATCATCATTTTTTAAAGAGGTTTTTGTTTTAGGTCACGTGCACTTGCTGGAGAGAGACAGAGACAGTGAGAAGGAAAGTGAGAAATCACCCCCCCCGGGGGGGGGATGGTCATCCTGCAATCCTTTCTTCTCCACTATCTTCCTTGGATCTTGGGGATGTATGCACATGTGCCTGGCATGATTTTCAAGCCACTGGGTCTGGGACTAGAACTGCAGTTAGCCATGTGGGAGTCCAGCAATGTAACCACTATGCTATCTGCTGGCCCCAAGATTTATGTCATTTTAATGTGCACTATATTCTTTTTAGTGGTAAAAAAACAAACAAACAAACAAACAAACAAAAAAACCAGTGATCATAAGAACACCTAGGCATCCTGTAAAAATAGAGATTCTGTGATGCCTCTGAAATTCTCATTTTGGTGGGAGCTAAGAGTTTGCATTTGAAACACCACCATCAGCCCCAGTGATTCTGGTTTGCAAGTAAGGAGTAATGAGTAATGCTGAGGATATAGGGCATCACTGGCCCTTTAAGCTTATGGTAATGGGCCAGCTGGTACTACTATTTAGGATAATTTAGAAATACTTACATACTGGTAAATCCTGAGGTTCATATGCATACAATCTATTAGAGTATCTCCCAGTTATATCGCCTCGGACTCTTAAAGAAGGGTCTGTCAAGGAATAAAAAAGTCACAAAAATATTACTTAACATGTTCTAAAAATCATTTTTGCTTCATTCTCTGAAACAAATGTCAAGCAAATTTACAAACAAAATTGGTTTCCACACATGTGAATTCATACAAATTGAGTTTCCTTTTAGTATATCAGCTCTGTCGACCTAGTGTGGCACACTGTAATGAAGGTACATTGCAATATTGATTTAATAGCATAAGTTACTTTTAACAAATATTTCAAATGTACAAATTATAGATGTGATGATTTCTTTTTAATTTCTAGAGGGCAAGTGTGTTTACCAGAGAGAAACAGAGACACAGAGGGAGGAAAGCAACCCCACTGAGATATGGTCACTCTGCCATTCCTTCTCCTCCATTTCTCTATCATGTTGGGATTTAGGGCACACATGTACATGCATACAGAGCATTTTTCAAGCCACCAGGGCCAGGATTCAAATTGCAATTGGCCTTATGGGACTCATTCCCCTATCCAATAGGCTATGGGACTTGCCCTAGACTTTAGATTAGATAACTAGCAGGAATTTATTTATTGGGTTTGAAAGGACATCCCTTTCAAAAGAATAATACTTGAGCTAGCATTTTAAAACAAACAAGGTTTCTATTAATTCTGTAAATCTGATGAAATGAAATTACACACATACCCACAAACATGATTCTGGGCACATACTGCCCATCGGGTGATAAATTCTTATCAATGGTCTCATGCTAGCAAGAAGAAACAAAAAAAGAAAGTTATTGGATTGTTTTTTACTGTTAATTTTGAAAATATTTAATATGAATTAGAGTTTCAGTAACTTGCATATTTTGGCCTCATAATTCTATGTAACTTTCTATAACTATCAAACACATAGCCCTTTGTGTTTTAATTGTAAACAAAATTCCAAACTTTTCATTGAATTATAATGTTAACAAGACATTGAACAGTTCATGTACCATGAGATTCAGCATGATGAAATTATTCTGAGCCATTTCTTGTATTTCTTCATTTTGAGCAAATACTTTTTTGAGTGCTGTGGGGGAAATATAATGATGGTTAGTTGTGAGGATCAAGACATCTTACATGAAGGATCTTCAAAAAATTCATGGAAAATGTGCATTATTTAAAAATTTGCATGGATTTCAAAATTTTTTGCACCGAAAACTTGTACTTCAATTTTATTTTTCTGTAAACATTTTGAAGTCCTCTCGTGGAACACAGTAAAACAAAGCTAGTATTTTACATTTTTCCATCTATAACTTGGGCTTAAATAGTTCATTCGCTATTGTCATTTTGTCTCTGCTTAGGAAGCTACAAAGAATAGTCTATCCAGAGGCATCAAGGGATAATATATTAAATCACATTAAAGAATACAATAATTTTATAATTCTATGTGATTTATTGACTCATTGATTATAAAACTCCTTTCAGCAAGTATTCCCAACCATTCCTCTTTCTTTTGGAAAACAAAAAGACATCAAATTCCATATGGCATATGATAGAAAAATATTCAGTAGATCGCTAATGATCATTGTAGTTTTTAAGGACTTTAGTGTAAAATTGTGGTACTTTGACAAACGTCCTTTTTTTTTAAAATGGGATTTACTGAGTTCCTTCTTAGCAGGTCACTTTTTCTATATCATATTGCAAATATGGTAAAATTTCAGGAGCTAAAATTACCTTGGCAGTATTGACAGTCCTCCAAGTGATGAATGACCATCAATGGCTTGTTACTAAACAAAGAAAGTGTGGAATTAGGTGTGTGATTAACTTTGAGTCAAAAGGTATAGTGGGCTTATTTAACATTTTGTACTTTCAACATTTTTAAGTAAGAATTTCAGATTTCTGGGGCCAGCAGGTGGAGTAGAGGTTAGGGTACCTGGGTCCCACATGGCTGACAATGGTTCAGAACCAGTGGCTTGTAAAGCACACTGGGCATGTATGCCTATGTATGCATTAGTGTCCTAAGAAACAGAAGAATTTAGGAGTGTGAGTCATTCCAGTTTCTTGAATTGCTATAATTCCCCCTCCCCCCCCACACAAACACCTACACAACAATGGATATAAGGACAGCTATGGTTAGATAAAAAGATGGAAGTAACTCTTGGAAAGCTAACTGCAGCATCAGATTTCTAAGCAATTGGAGTCCAAGAAAAAATGGATCCAGAGCATAGAAATTCATTTTTTCTGCATGAAATTATTTTTGGCAGAGGATGTATGTGCTTGAGAGAGAGAGAGAGACAGATTGAAAGAGCCCCCTCCTCCCTGAGGGGTTAGTATGACCACCTTACAGTCTCTTTTCATCCTTTCTCCTTTCAGGATTTTGGGCAGACATTCATATGTGCCCAGTGTGTTCTTCAGGCTACTGGATCAAACCACACAATTGGCCATGGGGGATCCAGCTACCTTAAAAACCACACAACTTGACTGGCCCAATTTTTAAAAATTCATATTAGTATATGCCTACATATGAGAATGAGAAAGAGAGAGAGAAAGAGAGAGAAGGAAGGGGAGAGAGAGAGGGAGGAAGGGAGGAAAGAAGAGAGAGAGAGAGAGACAGAGAGGGGCACACCCTCTACAAGGTTTGTCATGCTATCATACTTTTCCTATAGCCCTCCACCCCTCAGATCTTAGGCATTTTTATGCCTACCCAGTGCATTTTTGGTTGACTGGAGGATTTCTTTCTTTCTTTTCTTTTTTTTTTTTTAAATTTTTTCATTTAGAGAGATTTTTGCTACATGGCGTGTGTGCTTGCTGGAGAGAGAGAAAGAGACAGAGAGACAGAAAGCTAGAAATCATCCCTCTGAAGGATGGCCATGCTGCAATCCCTTCTTCATTTTCCTCTTGGGATTTTGAACATGCATGCACATGTACCCAGTGTGTTTCAAGCTGCTGGGTCTAGGACTAGAACTGTGCTTGACCATGTGGGAGTTCAGTGCCATAACCACTATGCTACCTGCTGACCCCAGGACTGAGGATTTCAGGTGATCACTATGTGGGAACCAGTTTCTCTTAGGGCAGCATATCACTGCTAGGCCATGGAGCTGGCCTTTTTTAATTTTAATTTTTTATTTTTTTTTATAAGTTTATTTATTTCCTCTGAGAGAGAGAGAGGCAGACAGGTAAGAAGACATATACTCTCAACAGGGTTCTACACCATGATCTATGCTAGCCTCACCCAGCCTGGATCATGGGCATGTACATATACCTGGCTGGCACAGGAGATCCAGGGACTTGAACCTGAGACCTTTCTTTGTGGGGCCAGCTTTGCAGAGTGTTGCCACTGACTGGCCCCTAGAGAAAGTTACTTTTGTCAGTTCAGCTATAAGTGAATTGTTCATACGTTTAAACCAAGAACCATTTAAGACAAAGCACAGGAATAGTTTAGATTTTCTTTTTTGCTATGAGTAATTTGAATTTCATTGATATTTTGTTTAAGAGTTCCTTATCAGATGTATGATTTGCAAATTTTTTGTTTTCATTCCATATGTTGTTCTTTCACTTTGTGGATAGTTATCTTTGCTGTGCAGAAGCTTTCTGTCTTGGTGCAATTCTCATTTGTCTATCTTTTATTTTGTTGACTGTGCTGTTGGGTCATAAATATTTTTTAAAATCGCATTGTCCAGAACAATGCTAGGGGACATTCCTTTTATATTGTATTTACTTCTATTAGTTTCATAGTTTCATGTCTTACATTTAAGTCTTTAATGCATTTTGAGTTGGTCTTTGTGTGTGTGGTATAAGAAGGCCTATTTCATTCTATTGCATGTGGATAGCCAGTTTTCCTAGCATCATTTATTGGAGAAACTGTCATTCCTTATTGGATCTTCTCAAAATCTTTAAAAAAAAAAAAGATCAATGAACTGTAAATACATGGACTTATTTATGGGCTTCTTAGTGTGTTCTCCTGGTCTATATTCCATTTTTATGCTGGTACCATTCTGTTTTGACTACTATAGGTTTGTAATAGATTTCAAAGCCAGTGATGCTTCCAACCTTGTTCTTTTTGTTCAAGACTAGTTTAGCTATTTGCTTTTTTTTTTTTTTTTCTGTGATTCTATACCAATTTTAGGATTGGTTTTTAAAATTTTTTTCTGTAAAAAATGGTATTGGAGAACTCAGCAGGTTGCATGGTATTGGAGAACCTAGCAGGTAGCATGGTTGTGAAGGTACTGGATTTCCATATGGCTGACTGCAGTTTGAGTCCCAGATCTGGCAGCTTGAAAATCATGCCAGGCATGTGTGCATGCATGCTCCAAATCCTGAGAGGAAAATGGAGAAAGGATGGCAGCATGGCCATTCCCCTCAAGGGTTGATTTGTCACTTTTCCTCTCTGTCTCCCTCTGGTATGTGCATATGCCTTATGGCAAAGACAAAAAATAAAAGAAAAACAAAATAGCATTGGAATTTTGATATGGATTGCACTGAACCTGTAGGTTGCTTTAGGTAGTATGGACAATCTGTGAACATGGGGGTATCTTTCTATTTGTGTCTTATACAATTTCTTTTTTTTTTTTTAAATAGTTTTTATATATAGATCTTTCACTTTGGTTAAGTTTATTCTTAGACATTTTATTTGTAGGCATTATAAATTGGATTGTTTTCTTGATTACTGTTCAGATATCTCGTTGTTACTATATAGAAACACTACTGATTTTTGCATATTACTTTTATATCCTACAACTTCATCAAATTCACTTAGCCATTAAAAATTAGTTTTTAAAATTTGCTATAGGGTATGTGTGCTTACTGGAGAAAGAGAGAGAGAAAGAGAGAGAGTACCTCCAATGGGAGATGACCACACTGAAATACTTTCTCCTCCATTCTCTTCTCAGGGTTTTGGGCACATGCGCAAACACACACTTGATGTGTTTTTCAAGCCACAGAGTCCAGGACTTAACCACCTGGTTGGTTGGTCCCTAATTTCTTCCTGGTGGTGTTTTTACAGGTTTTTATAAGAACACATCTGCAATTAGACAATTTGACTTTTTCCTTTCCAGTTTGGATAAATTCTTTTCTTGTCTAATTATTCTGGCTAGGACTTCAAGTACTATGTTGAACAGAAAGAATGAGAATGTCTACTCTTGTCTTATTCTTGATTTTAGAGGAAAAGTTTTCAATATTTCACTGGTCAACATGTTAATAGCTATGGGCTTATCATTCATGGCCATTAACTTTTATGTCTAATTTATTGAAAGTTTTTGCCCCAAAGAATGTTGACTTCTGTAGAATGCCTTTTCTGCATGTATTAAGATGATTATTTTGTGTTTTTTCCTTCATTCTGTTAATGTGTATATGAAATTTATAATTTGCATATGG